TTGGTTTGTGCAACGAAAAACTTCGCAGAGCAAGAGAAGCTTGGAGAGGGAGGATTTGGTGGAGTTTATAGAGGTTTCTTGCGCGAATTGAATTCCTATGTTGCTATCAAGAGGATATCAAGGGAGTCTAAACAAGGGATAAGAGAATACGAGTCGGAAGTAACGGTCATCAGTTGCTTGAGGCACAGAAACTTGGTGCAGCTCAAAGGTTGGTGCCATGAGAAAAAAGAACTCCTACTTGTTTATGAGTTCCTGGCTAATGGTAGCTTAGATTCACATCTCTTCAAAAAAATAGTGTTGTCATGGAATCTGAGGTACAAAATTGCCAAAGGCTTGGCCTCGGCATTGCTCTATCTGCACGAAGGATGGGAAGAATGCGTACTACATAGGGATATAAAACCAAGCAATATTATGTTAGATTCAAATTTCAATGCGAAACTTGGGGATTTTGGGTTAGCTAGGCTGGTTGATCATGAAAAGGGATCGGAAACGACAGTTCTGGCAGGGACTTTGGGCTACATGGATCCTGAATGTGTCATAACAGGCAAGGCTAGCAAGGAGTCTGATGTATACAGCTTTGGAGTCGTTTGTTTGGAGATAGCATGTGGCAGAAAACCCAGTAGTTTTAGCGTGCAAGAAAGTCAGATGACAATTGTAGAATGGGTATGGGACCTTTATGAATCAGGAAGATTCTTGAAGCAGCAGACCAAAAACTATGTGTGGATTTTGACAAGCAAGAAATGGAAAGGTTGCTGGTGGTTGGCCTTTGGTGCACTCACCCAGACTATCATCTCCGATCGTCGATAAGGCAAGCTACTCTTGTCCTTAATTCTGAATCTCCCTTGCCTATTCTCCCATCAAAGATGCCACATGTCCCGACAAGTTTTGGTCTCCCAGCAAATATGCCTACATCTTGGTCCTCTTCGTCTAGTGGCACCATTATTTCGAAGAACAGCTGAATTTTCTCCATGTCTTCCACATCCGAAGAAGCTTTTTCCTCATCTGGATAAAGCCGACTCTGAGAATATCTGGCAAAAGATATGTATGATATTAGTCCCACATAAATGAGGGATGCATGATGAATAAGCTGTGGTACTCTAGTTCTAATAATTTCATGTTATTCTTAAATTTAAATTTGTGTACTGAAAGACCCTTGATGGTAGGCTTTCTTTGATGATCATCCATACAGGAACTAATGGTTTTAACCTGAACAAGTTATATTAAAATTTGATTTTTGAATTGCTAACCAAAATGCAGCTCTGCTGATTAGTTACGGCTATGCTAAAGGTGAAAAGATGTTTTAGCAGCTAGTGTACAGGAGGGCTATGAGAAAGACTCTAAATCGGTTCTGTTTTTTAATATGCAATCCAAGATTATGGTGGAAGACCTATCGGAAAAATATGTGTGGTTCAGTGATGACTTCAACATCGATCGTAATAAGTAGGTCAATTATATGTATAAATGATGCCTTGGTTGTGACATACTATGGCTGTAGCTACATTGATGCCACATGTTGAACTCTCATGCTAGATGTTATGAACATACTATAACAGACATTTGCGATTAGGGCAATGTGAAATAATAAAAGTAATTGAGAGAATAAAGTGAAAAATACAATAATTGAGAAGGCAATAAAAAAAAGATCATAGTTAAGAGGATAAAAATGTAATTTAACCATAGAAATATGCACATCTAACCTCCTCGTATCGACCAAAAGAAAACATCTACACTAGATTGTCCTTATTCATATGTAATTCGATTACTTCATCTTTACTGCGCTCTTTCTTTTCTTTTGAATTCTTCTCCTCAATGGGGGACAGCAAGGCTCTGCAAAGGACTCCGCAAAGTGGCAATATGTTTGTTATTGATTTAAAATAATTATTCTGGGTCAAGTTTGATAATGTACAAATTGAGTTTGTACATTCCCTGTCAAGTATGAGTAATAAATACAATAATTAAAGTAGAGAGAATACGAAAATTTTAGTGGTTCAGTCAAGGTGACCTATGTCCACTCTCTGAATGACTAGGGTCGCCAGATATTTTATTAACTCAAATGTGCAAAGAGAGCAAAGAGCTACAAGCTGCGAGGGAGAGGAGAAAGTTGTGCTCAACAAGGTATGATCTATCCCTCAAGTGTTGGTAGGGCTTACAATTTATAGTTGCTCCAATAACAAATTGAGACGAGTTATTAGTAACCAAGTAGCTATTTTATTGGAAGTGACAATATCTTCTCAACAGGCAAGGCAGTTACGGGGCTCTCTATGAGATTCGGTTAAAGAATGACAAGGGGTGTTGACCATCTCCAAGGCGACAAGGATAAGACTTTGGATGACCCTTACTCTAAGGTGGCAAGAAGGAGGCTCTTGGATGACCTTTACTCCAAGGTGGTAGAGGAGGAGGCTCTTAGATGACCTTACATGCTCCCTGCTGATGTAGCTCCTTGATCTTGATAAACTTATCCAAGTTGACTACGTTGATCTGAACTTGCTAGATCTCTAGAAGATTGGCTATGAACTTGGACCGGACTTATAATTTGAGTTGGGCCATTGAGTTTGACCCATCAAAATTAAAATAAAAAAAAAATATTGAATCAAATATTTTAAGATCGATCTCAAAAAATATAACTTTTGAGGTCAAGTTACGCTTTTTCTTAAAAGTAATTTACAATTTTATTGAGATTTTTGGGCTCTATCTTAAAGTTAAAATCCATTCTAACGCACTTCATGATTGAACCCTCCCAAAAAATCGTTTGTGGGGTACGGTACTATTTTTTTTTTTTTGGCTACTATAGAATTCTTCTTATTGGCATTGTGATTGACAAACTCCTTTGATGTAATCTCTTGGTAATCCATTCAGGACGGCTTTTAACTTTTCCCTTTGTCTATTTTTTTGGCCAGCTACAAAGACTATTTTTAGTTTATATATAACATCCATTGAGAAGTTGACATGATTGTGCAAAATGGCCGGCCACTTGCAATTTGTTAAATTTCTCAGCAAAAAAAAAAAAAAAATGTTTACGATCTATAGCAACGTTTGGGAGAGGTAATAATAGTCTTATAAAATGACTAATTCCTGGACTTGAATCCATGGCCCATGGGTATGAGGCGAGTGTCGTCCAAGATGCTAAAACCATAAAAACTCATACAATATGTCCAACAAAATCCTTAGCTGAGTACACAACGACTGGATCAACAAATTGGCATACTACTACTTCAACAGTTGCTAGTTATTTATACAACGAACAGTCGTCCCCTCCCCAATGCAAATTTTACCTAGTACCCATGGCTGAAAGCAACTCTTGGCATGTCTCCTTTTTCTTCTTCCTCATTATCCCTTGTGCATCTCCACTATACTTCAATCTATCTCGTATCGGACCTCATGATGCTAACGTCAATATAAACATCACAGGAGCTGCATATATCACAGGAGAAGGCATCCAAGTCACCCCAAATGAGCGCAATGTGACATTAGGTCGAAGAATTGGTCGGGCCACATACATCCAACCGCTGCACTTATGGGACAACGCTTCAGGGACCATGGCAGACTTCACAACCCATTTCTCTTTCGTAATTGATTCAGAGGGTAGTGATCGCTATGGACATGGGCTAGCTTTTTTCCTGGCTCCTGTCGGTTCCAATATCCCTGAAAGCGCCACAGGTGTACCCTTGGTCTTGTAGGTTGGAACATGACATCAAACACAAACTCAACTGTGGGTCATTTTGTTGCAGTGGAATTTGATACTTTTCAGGATACTTGGGATCCCCATTTCACACATGTAGGTATCAATATCAACTCTATGGAATCTGTTTCTACTGCAATATGGTTGAACGATATTACACAAGGGATAGAAAATGAAGCTTGGATTAGCTATAATTCTTCTTCCAGAAGGCTCACAGTTGTTTTCACCAATTTTTCAAATAATGGAACTCAGCATGCTAGCCTTAACTGTGTTGTGAATCTACAGGATCACTTACCAGAATGGGTTATTTTTGGCTTCTCAGCCGCAACAGGAAATCTTTTTGAGAGAAATAATATTAGAACATGGGAGTTTAATTCAAGTTTACAAGCTCAAAATGATACAAGAAGTGCAAGTCTGGATCCCAATAGAAGCATCACAAGAAGAGGGAAAGATAAGAAAGGACTAGTGGTTGGGTTATCTGTGGGTATTTCGGTTATTTTCGGGTTGGGTTTGCTTGGCTATGGCTTGTTTAAAAAGAGAAAAAGGGGAGAACAAGATCTTCTCTTTGAGCCATCCATGGATGACCAATTCGAAAAGGGTAGTGGACCTAAGAAATTCTCACACGGAGAATTGGTTCGTGCAACTAACAACTTTGCGAAGGAAGAGAAGCTTGGAGAGGGAGGGTTTGGTGGTGTTTATAGAGGTTTCTTGAAGGAGTTAAACTCCTATGTTGCTGTTAAAAGGGTATCGAGTGGGTCAAAACAGGGGATAAAGGAGTATGCCTCAGAGGTCAAGACCATCAGTCGACTCAGGCATAGGAATCTGGTGCAGCTAATTGGTTGGTGCCATGAGAGAAGAGAACTTCTACTTGTTTATGACTTTATGCCCAATGGTAGCTTAGATACTCTATCTTTTCAAAGAAAAAAACTTGTTGACTTGGGTGATGAGGTACAAAATTGCTCAAGGCTTGGCCTCTGCAATACTCTATCTACACGAGGAATGGGAACAATGTGTGGTGCATAGAGATATAAAATCAAGCAATGTTATGTTAGATATAAATTTCAATACAAAACTTGGGGATTTTGGGTTAGCTAGGATGATTGATCATGGAAAAGGATCCACGACAGATTTGGCAGGGATCATTGGCTACATGGATCCTGCATGTATCATAACTGACAAGTCTAGTAAAGAGTCAGATGTATACAGTTTTGGAATTATTGCATTAGAATTAGTACGTGGAAGAAAACCCATAGATCTCAATGCCCCAGAAAGTCAGATAAGAATGGTTGAGTGGGTTTGAAACTTTTCTGGAATGGGTAAGCTACTTGAAGTAATTGACCCGAAACTATCTGCAGATTTTGATGAGCAAGAAATTGAACATTTGATGATTGTGGGGCTTTGGTGTGCTCACCCAGATCCCAGTCACTGGCCTTCAATTAGACAAGCAATTCAGGTCCTCAATTTTGAAGCCGCATTGCCCATTCATCCGTCCCAAATGCCAGTGCCTACATATACAGCTCCCTCAGCACATATGGCTACTTCCTCGCAGCTGTTGTCCTATGGAACCATTGTATCCGAAAGCATCTAGGTCTAGTCTTCCAGCTACATTTATGACACCGATTCCTCAAAGGTTACCACATCTTCCGTAGCTTTGTCTCCATCTGCATCGCTTCTGTAGACATAGTGGGTATATACAATTAATAAGTGTGTCTGTAAGGTATTCAATATCTAAAAATTTTACTTTTGAATCAAACATGCATTATATTAACTTGCATTTTTCATAAACTAATTAATGGTAGCATAATTCTCATATTTGTAGTTAATTACCATAATAATGAAAATTTTGGGATGTCTAGACTGGAAAGTCCACAGATTCAGATTCGGTTTCCAAATGGAGACTTCAACCAACTTCTCCTTAACCCCAATTTTTCCTGACAATTGTCTCCATGGTGTGACTTTGTAGCTCTCTCTTTGGACACCAACTTTCTCTCCGGTCCACCTCATTTCCCCTTATATCTTGACCTTCATAACAAATAATTCTCCTTTTTTTTTTTTTTTGAAGAAAAAATAATTCTCCCTCAAAACAACTTATCACATGCATTTGTGATCCCAAGGACTTTTCAACATGTTGAGATCTACTTTTGATAAAAGTTAGACAATGTCTGACACTACTGGTCACTGCCAAAACGAGTAGAAATTAGAGTAGTTTGAGAGAACAAAATGTTTGTTTTGGTGAGGAACGGGGCCACAAAGCTCATAAGTGTATCATTATGGGGTGGGCTAGCTAGGAATCAAATAACTGCAGTCTAGAATTAGCATGTGAAAGAAAATTCATTCATCACAAGGCAAAGGAAGTTAGATAAGAAGAGTCCAAGTGGTTTGACAGCTTATGCATTATGAAAGCTTACCAAATCAGCAGATCACCTAGTATAAACATGATCTATAGTGGAACATCTGAAAATTTTTTAGGAATTTATATGTACATTCAGATAGCAATCCCAGGCCTATTTTCGGCCAGGAATTCATGCTGTTAACTTAAATTTGAAGCACCATTGGGCATTGACAAATCTTCGTCCAAGATGCTCATGTCAACTAATTTTGTTGCGCCTGTTACTACATCTCCATTTTGATTCCTAAAGTGGTCCTTATTTTCTGAGGTAGCCAAATCTAGTCTGCAAGCTGTGGTTATGATGACATCTATCAATTTTCACATCATCTTCTGCAGCTTCTTTTCCATGTGCATCCCTTTGGAAGGCATGATAAGTTGACATAAAGGGTGCCTAAGATTGTCATGTACTTGAGGTGTAATAATTCCTGTGTACTAAACCATACGAATTATTAAATTTTACTTAATTAGTATTTGATGAAGGTATTCTAAACCGACTAGCTCATCTCTGCAAAAGAGGTTCTAGGTAGCAAAGGCGAAGTTCTACGTAGCTGCCCTCATCCTAATTCTGCTATGAAGATACTACTTGGGGTGCATCCAACTCCTACTAGGAATATACAGATAATCAAGGAGGTGAAGAAGTATATGGAAAGAGATCCCACCAAGTCCAACACAGACCCCCTTGATTTTCTTCTAGAATATCTTCTACTTATTTAGCAGATAATCCTTACGTAAAAAGGGTAATTTTACATGATTAAGGTATGCCATACGAGCCAACCCAAAATAATAAGCTTTCATTAGACTAGGACCATAAAAGGCTCCATTTGGCATGGATTACTTGAATGCCGTAGCGCCTAGTACTCAAACATTAGCTCAAGAAACCTAAAAAGGCGTGATCAGCTAATATCCTTGAACCGATAGTCAACTTTTGGGCTAACCTAGCTTCCTCCACCCTAGGGACCAAACAAGGGGTCATTGGTGTTAACTCTGAGCAATCAAAATCAAAAAAAATAAGAGAAAGGGAGAAGAGAATATTATTGAAACACAATTAGCCATAACAAATCTTGAAAGAAAATTATATATAAGAGATCTTTATACAGTAAATTAAGTTAGGGCAATATAAAAAAAAATAAATGACTAAACTATCCCTAAGTCTAAATAAAATAACTATTCTAACACCCTCCCTCAAACTCATGATGTGGTAACATTAAACATTAAGAGTTTGCTAAGAAGAAAACGGAAGCGTGCAATGGTGTGAGATTTCGTAAAGAAACGATCAGCAAGTAGCCAATGCAATCAAACTATCTCTGCTGTTATGAAGGCCATAGCATGATACTCAGCTTTAGCAGATGATCGAGCCACAACAATTTGTTTCTTACTTTTCCACGAAATATGACAATCACCAATGAAGAGACAGAAATCAATAGTGGACTTGTGATCCATAGAGTCACCAACCCAGTCTGCACTAGAGTAAGCACGAAGTTCTAGAGACAATCAAATAGCAATGAGAGGTCCAATAGAAAACCAAAGCTCAACAAAAACCACCAACAACAATGCTCAACAAAACAAATCCTAACAAAGAAAAAAAAAATCAGAACTAGTCCCAAACCAACAGTAGTCAAAATCAGAAACTAGAACAAAAAAAAATAGTCAATGCCAAATAATGCAAAGTTCGCCACAAATCAACTTTGCAAATCAAATACACACCTAGTAGTTCTTTCACAAAATCAGACCCAAAGGCTCAAATCCACTACTCAAAAGTGGAAACAAAAGTTTCCTGCTTATTCAGTACAACGCTATGACAAATAGCAAGCCCAAACGAACAAATCAAAAACCAGCAACATGATAACTCACCAATGCACAAAACCAACCAATCAACAAACCAGTCCAAAAACCCAAAGCAATAGTAGAAAACGAAGAAAAAACAACCAGACTAGCAATCAGAAGAAGCAGAAGAAGAAGAAGCACCAACAGAAGAGAAGAGGCAACAACAAGTCAACAAAAATAGCAATCCAAACAGCAGATCTCAACCTACCAACTTCACAAACCAGAAACTAATGAAGAAACAGATGCTCAATAGGCCTTAATACAAGCATCTCGAGCCAATAAATCAAACCAGCAATTCAACAACTAGACAACTCAAATTCCATAACTTTCAAAAGTCCAGAAGACAAATAGAGGCAGCAAAACAGTAGCAAAACACAAAAAAGGCACTAAAAATCAAAATTCAGTACTGTTTACAGCATGAATAGTAAAGTCGGTACCGTTCACAGCGCGTGAACAATATTTTCGGCACTGTTCACAGCCCTTGGAATCACAAATAAGTAACAATCTACCAATCACTAGCTCTCAAATCACACAATCCAACAATATATTCTTCCTCCAATTAAATTACTGTAATGCAACAATATATATTTTGGATCGAAACAATGCTACGATATCATGTTAACTTTAATCAATCAAAGAAAAGTAAGAAGAAGAAAGAAAAAAATATTATTGAGATACAATTAATCAGAACAAAGTTTAAAGAAAAATTACATATAAGAGGTCTATATATATATAATAAACTAAGTTAGGGCAACATAAAAGAAAATAAATAACTAAACTATCCCTAAGTTTAAATATAATAACTATTCTAAAAATTGGCACCATGATTAAGTCAAACCGCTGCCCATTGGAGACCCAATTTTTTCCATTGACGGTTTAATACAATCTTTCCTTTAGGTTTTATATCAGTGGGTAAAGGCTTTTCCATATCCTTCTTCTCTTGGTTATGATTTTATCATTATTTTCTGAGTCTTACCACATAACATAATGTGTGATTCAACAAAGTCAATGTAGCACACAGGATAGGAACTTAAGCTGATTGAGTTAATGGGTTGGATTACACATCCCATAGCATAACCACAGAATTCATCAAGGTTAACATCAACTTGACTCGGTTGCCGAATGCAGAAGAGTTTTTTGGTCTTTCGATTAAATCGGATAGGAATACGGAATAATCATCTATTTCCGCATTCCTATCCTACCCTACCTGCATTAATTAATATATATATATACACATATATATATAAACTTAAAAATCCTAATTGTCTATTGAGTCCCGAGAGCGCCTCACACCTCACCTCACTCCACTCCTTCTCTCCTCCTTCATCGTTCAGTTCCGATTCCAGGTACTCTTCTCTCTCTTTCTCTCTGCGCAATCTGGTGTGGTCTGGCCTGGTTTGATCGCGCATTCCTCTGGGGTGGTCTGGTATGATCTGATTACGATCTGGTGTGGTATGGTCTGGTCGCGATCTGGGGTGCTCTCTCTCTCTCTCTTTCTCTCTGCGCGACCTTTCTTCCTCATGAATCGTCTGGTCTGAATCACGATGGCCTAGTTTGATCGGGTCTAGTCTGAGTCACGATCACTTGGTTGGAAAAAAAAAAAAAGCAACCCACCCCTCTATTTGTCAACCTATCAGATGGATTAATAGAAGAACCTGTGGATTCTTTCTTATTAGTTTTACATTGATGATAATATGTGCACTTCTAACTGAATTCTGTTCCCTTTGTGTTGAATTTTTGTTGATCAGTTTGGGGGGGAAAGAGAACTGCTATTGAAAAAAGGTAATCGTACTCTTCTAGTCTCCAACCATGTTTTTCATTTCGATAATAATCTTTGTTTGGTTGAATGGTTTTTTTTTTTTTTTTCGGATAAATTAATTGAACGATGTTATTCAATATGAACAAGATTTGCAAATCCTTTATTGCTCTAATAAATCAAATGCATATCGAATTTTAGTGCAAGTATGGTGGAGGTTGTTTGCTGCCTTGCCATATCTAAGGCAGGTTTTGGCTGTTTCTCTTGGTAGAAATTCCTGTCTTCTCAACTCTTCTTTCTTTTATATTGTGTTAAAACTACTTAATATTAGAGGCATGTTAAAGGCCTTTTTATTTTTTTTTTAAATTTTTTGAAACAGGGAATTGTTCCAAAACATGCAGTTTTGTATTCGTGATTAAAATGCCAATGCACTTGATTGCTTATTATACTGTTTGATAAGTTTATTATGCCAAACCCATCTCTCTGTTTGACAAGTTTATTGATGATGTGTATCAAACACATGGCACTAACTTTGCCCAAGATGTTTACGGTTCCAACATATCAGTTCTTATACCATCTCCATATTTTGTTTTTGTTCACAAATCATTTTTTTATGGAT